CCCCAAAACCCCAAAACCCCAAAACCCCGTGGTGTTAAATAAAGCTGAAAATGGTAATTTTTGCTTAAATTTAAATTAGATTTTTCCTCATTTAGTCGTACATGTTTAATTTTTTTTCTAAATAAGTTTGTTTTCCGTTCATACTTAGATTTTTTATTAAATGAAGTTTTTTCATTTTCAAAGCATTAAAAATCTCCAAGGTCTAATCACATAATATCCGGATTCTCAAATAGGTACTCTGTCTTCATATTTAAAGCTATCCATTAGCCCTCCCATGTCGCTTTTATACCATTCTTCTTCATTTCATTCTCAAGTTTCTTCTCCTTTTCATTCATCACCACACTCAAACCTTGGATAAGCACCATAAATTTCCACCTTTCCAAATCCATTTTCCTCTAGAATAGAAGAGATCTCTTCTTCAGTCAAGAGTAAGTGTCTCACCTTAATCTCTTTCAAACTTTTCCTGAAATCCTCGCTTTGGGAGAGACCTTTGATTAATTTTTCAAAATTAGTGATGTATGCCAATCATGGATCTTGGTATATTAATTCTAGTTTTTGAATTTGAGTATCCCAAAGAGCTTCTTCGAGGTCAGGAACAGAGGGCAGATATATTTTGTATCAATGAATTCTAAATCGCTCCACATGTTTGAATTTTGATAGAAGGTTGCCAAGGTTTTGTTGGCTGATGATAAATTCACTAATCTCTAGCGCTTTATGAACTCTTGGTGCTATTTCTAATAATCCTTCCATGTCATAATCCTTAGACTTGTCATAGGAAAGCCAGGAGGCAGAAAATTTCAAAATTTGAACCTTATTTGGGAAACAATTCTTAAAAAAGTTGTTAATGAGCCCAGATGTTCCATGTTCAAAGTTCCAAATACGAAAGAGCTCAAAGTTAGGAATTCTTTTCTTAACTTTCTTAAGCAACTCCAAGTAATTAGGATTGTCTAGGTTAAATTCTAAGGAGGAATCTCCTTCTTTATATTCAATATCATGAGGTTTCCTAAATTGATCTTTTTCAACGGGGCTGTCGATAGATCCGCAGAGAGCAGCAAATTCTTTCTGGGTGTAGGTTGGAGAATAAGTGAGTCTTTGTTCAAAAAGCTTATTCTCTTCAAGAGCAAGAGCAAGATCTCTTTGTGTTCTTTTAAGTTCTTTATCTAGTTCGATCATCTTGGTGTTTAGCGCCTTTTTCTCTTCTTCAAGAGCTGATTTTTTGACTTTTAGTCTAGCAATATCTTTCTGTAAATATTTTTCTTCTTCATAATCTTTAGGAAGTTTCCTTTCGCCGTCCTCTATAGGAATGATGAGTTCTTTTGCTGAGCTCATTAATCTTAACTCAGCTTAGTCTAGAATAGCCTAATTTTATAGCTTCTGACCAAAAACTTTGACTAAGATCTTCAACTTTGATATTCAACTTTGATTTTTCATCATTGCTATTTTGTATTTGATTTAAAGTGTTGGATAGATCGCTCAATTTTAAAGATTCTGAGTTGAATCTGCTATATCAATATTGGCTTTTAAACATGAATAAAAGATCTATAAAATTATCAAATCTGAGTTTTATCTCATTTATGAATCCTGCAAGATAATTTATAAATAATCAATCTCCTTTAAGCCTTAACTCATTTGAAAATAACTTTGAAAGGAAAATATAATCTTTTTCTTAGTTTCAGTTACCAAAATTTTTTTGAGATTCTTTCCGATTATTTTATTAAAAGGATGGAGAATCAAAAATTATATCTTCATAAAACTTGATTTTAGGCTTCTATAGAACAGAGAAGCAGGAAGTTTGGAATTTTTACTAATGCTCTTAAATAGATCAACTAATATTTTATTTCTGTTGCTTAAAATTCATTCATACATATAAAAATCAATAGAAAAGTGCTTATTACTCTGAGTTATCGTGGGCTTGATCACACTCTTCAGAATTTTCATTCATAACAGTATCGGTTTTTATAGATTCAGATGACATATTGGATGAATGAATTAAATTTTCATTATATGAGGATGAACTAGACTTTTCTTGCCCCAAAAATGTCTGGGAACCTTCTTGATGTCCTTGGCTCAATTGAATTTTCTTTCCATTATCTATACAAAATTATATGCTATTTTATATAGAGATAAATCCAGAAAATATGATGACCAATTAGCCAAAGAATGATCCAACAGTATCATATCTAAGAGCTGACAGCATTGAGTCTAATTTTGAGGTTAATGTTATTTATGAATAATTTTATTAGAGTTTTCACAAGAATGTACACAATCAATTACAAAACATTGACCAATAAGATTAAAGATAAGAAGTAAAGGAAGGAGAACACTATTTTTAGTAAAACATTTAGTGATGGTTTGATCCAAACTCAAATAATAACTCGTTCAGTAAGAAAGCTAGGAATGCCAATTAACGAAATGAATAGCCATATTTCACCAAAAACTTAAATGATTCTGAATATATATGAGATTAATAAAAATTACCTAGAGCTTCACGATTATATTTTCTTATTGGCAATTTATTCAGAAAAAGAGAAGCTTATTTAACCAAAAATTTCTCGAGGAAAATTTTACTATCTTCCTCAAATATGAAGAATTCACTTAGTCAGAATTTTTAAAAATTGATCTAAATTTGCCTGAAGCAGTAGGCGAAAATATCTGAAAAAAGAGGCAAAGTAAGTGAATTGCTTGATGAATTTGTTTCCTGTGAAGTAGTCCATGAAGTAAATATTCATTTAGAGTGGACCTATCCTTCATCAGAAGTTACTAAAATTTTGAGCACGATGAGTATACTTAAAGGGTTTCATCAAACTTTCATGTCTTGGATCCTGTAAGCCATCTTTACTAATCATATCCATTTCATTCTCCTCTTTATTTTGAAGCTGAGAGGCTAAACCTTCATGTTTTCATCATACTTAATATCCGTAAGCTTAGATCTTTGATTGGCTGGCCCATTAGTATCCTGCTTCAATTCCATTATATCCTCCTGTTCTTGTCTATAAGTGTATCTTTCTCTTGGATCAGAGGCTTTAAATTCAATGGGTTGGCTTCCACTGGAGTCTGCTCTTGTGTATCTGAATCTATTATTCTCTGATTGTGACTATCTTGGAGCTGGTAAAAGAACTCATTGTTCTGGAACTTTTCAACTCACGACTTAGCTTCTTCTTCAAGCGTTTGGTAATCCTGAGCAATGTTGGTATCTTTCATCTTCTTACTTCGACCAAAAATCTTTTTGAAGTTGCCCTTAAACTCTTTTAGAAGCTTCTTCTGATGAGGTTGAAGGGCTCCATTCTTTGATTTTAAGTAGATATCATCATCTATAACCTCTTTAATCTGTCATAGAGATATCTAGAGGACATGAAACATTCTGAGAGTTCCTCCTCTAGTGAGGAAGTGTTTATTTCTGATACTAAGCCATTGCTAGAGCTTAAGTTGCTAAATTCTTCCGCTTGAGAGTGATATCTATCCTCTTTGAGAGGCTCTTTTGATTCCATTTTTATTTTATATTTTCAGGGGTTTATTAATACCTTGGGGTTTTGGGGTTTTGGGGTTTTGGGGTTTTGGGG